CCCACTAGACAAAAAAGAGCCAAAGGGCCAACTGGCTAGCACAACCCAACCAGCTAGCTAGCCCTGGGCTGGGCCAGAAATTTGAATGCAATGGCTAGCTGACGTCAGCATGATGTTAGCTAGCCGTTATAATTGAATTTTTTTTTTTTGGGCCAAAATTTTTAAAAAATATTTAATTATAAGCCCAAAGGTGATTTTTTTTCAAAGCTGGGCGTTGGAATGTGGTTTTTATAAGCATGTTTGGTAACTTAAATCTCTCCCACAACCGATGTGGGACTCACCCACCCACTTCTATTTTTGTTTTTTTTTTTTTTTGTTTTTTGCTACTTCCTCTTCGACAGCCGATGTGGGACTCTCCCACCCACTTCCCTTTATTTATTTATTTTTTATACTCTAAATAAAACCTCTCACATTTGACTTGAAATATATAAGTTGTATTTTTTAAACTTTACTTGTAGTTATTAACTTTAAGTTGTATTTTTAAAATTTAAGTTGTAATTTTTACATTTAATTTGTTGTAGTTTTTAAATTTAAATAATAAATTATGTTTGGCCCTTTGGTCCTCGGTTGGAGGTGGTTTTTTGTGATAGGGTTAAAACAAGCATTATGGTCATTTAACCCTTGATTGGAGATGGTAAGAAATATGATCATGCACTGTTTATTAAAATATTAATTTTTAAGGGGACCAGATGGCTAAAACCAGCATTCAGTTGGAAATGGCCTAATATCCCTCTGCATCTCTCTTTGAGAAGATCATTACCCATGCGGCATCTTCGTCGACATCCTCACCCATTCACAGCCATGTCCTTGAGCCCCTTCACTGCCATGGTGCTTTCATCTTCTAGCACCACTTTGTACGTCGTCCCCAGGCTCTTTTCCCCCAACATCTCTGCCGACGCCCACATCAAATCCTCTAGCTCAGACTGCTGCCTACGGTCCAAAAACACTAGCTTGCTTTTGTACGTCATGGGCTGTTTAGAAGTGAGAGGCGAAGAGGGTCTAGCTATGTAACAACACGTGTAGCGCGGGTAGGACGATGTGACCATGGAAATCATATGAAGGTAAACCCTAGAAATTGCAAAGAATGTGGCAAATATGATTTCTTTATTCCATTTTAGAAATTGAGAAAATATTGAATCATTATTTTAGGGGATCCTTGAAATTGGAATTTCGGATGTTCAGAATATCGAGTGGGATTGGAAGCCTTAGTAGGGGATCCCTAAAATTGGGGGTCTGTTGTTTGACCAAATTGAAAAACGAGAGGCAATCGTTGAGCCCAAGGCCAACGTCAAGGACGAAGGCGTGGAGGCCCCCACGGCCCTCGAGGTTGAGAGTGAATGAGGCAAAGCTGTTTTTAGCAAGGAAGATCAAGGTCTTGGAACATCTAGATAGTGTCGTTGTCGTAGTTGTGGATCGTGAAGTGCAATGTGCTCTTGTTGCTACTCCGATAACGAAGTGCAATAGCTGCTCCAATAATTGAGTGTTACGCAGAGAAAGCAATGCATCACAAGCGTACGAGGCTTACCCCTTGGTGTTTTATTTTTATTTTTATTTTTATTTTTTTAATATATATAAAAAAAATTAAATAAAATACTAAATGAATTGAATTTTGTTTTTCAATTCTTAAATATTTTTTATTATTTGTTTGGCCATGTTGGACAAGTTGGTAGCCATGTGAGCATAAGTGTGGACTTTTGATTTTGGCATGTCATTAGTTAAAATGTAAACTCAACTTAATTTTTAACAGATGTATGAAATTGTAATAAAATGTAAGCAAATATATGTGATTGAAATGTTTTAAAAATATTGTAGAAGATTGTAATTGTATTCAAACTTAAGGATGTAAAATGTAATTTTACCCTTTATATTTTTTTTATTGTGTGGATGCACGTAGGGCAAGTTTTGATGAAAATAATTTAAGCCCTAGGATGATTTTGATTAGTGAGGAGCGCAAGAAAGTTGCATCATTGTTCTCCATTAAAAGAAAAAAAAAAAAAAAAAAAAAAAAAAAAGAAATTTGCATCATCATCCCTAAATTTAGGCCCAAGAAAAAAAATAAAAAAAAAGGAAACAAAGAATGAAAATTTTAACAAAAAATTCTCAATATTATTTATTTTAACGAAAAATTATATTTTTTACACTAAAAAACCAACACTGCCACTACTTATTTTATTTTTTATTTTGTTTTTCAAAAAAAAAAAAGAAAAAAGTGTGAAGAGTGTTTGCGGAGGAATATGGATCCTCATTCATCAGAGGGGTAGAGTGTCAGACGGAGGCAGAGGGAGATAGAGGAGGCGACCGAAAGAAGAAAAGAAAGAGGAGGCTCGGCAGACTGGAGTGGAGCTGCAAAGGCACTGAACCAAGTGTAAGTATTTGAGTGGTGATTCTGAATTTTCCTTCTTTCTATGATTAATTGACTGATTGGTTTTTATTCATTTTCTCATTAGTTGATGTTAATTTTCTGGGTCATTGAATTTAGGGCTTAATTTTGGTAATTTTGGGTTTCAATTGCGTTCACTACGCCCATATTCCATTGCTTTTGAGTTGATATTTTGAATCAATATTGTATATATGTAGTCTGAATGTATGTACAAAACTATAGTAATTTATATGAATTACTATCAAATTTGAGGGATATTGTTTTCTTTTTTAATCTTGTAATTTGAAGGTTCTGGTCATGTTTTGCAAGTTGGGTTGTCTATGGAATTGGGTCATGTTGCATATTATCTATTGAACTTTTCTTGACACGCAAAATTCTAAACTAGTATGCTTTCAGCAGGTTTGGATTGATTAGAGTTGTACTTTGGTGGTTAATGTGGTTGGTTCTGTTCTTTGAGCAATCTGGTTTGTCTTGGATTTCATTTTTATGATAATGAGTGGAAAAGTGAAGTCCATAGTGATTCAAACTCCGGTGCAGGGGACATAACTGTTGGAAAGTGGTTTTTTTTTTTTAAAAGCAGTGGTTTTGGGTCCATTAAAGAGTTCTGTTTTTGGTTGTTATGTGCTAAGCTTGTTGCTTATTACACCATAAAAATTTCAATTTTTGGTTTTGTTCTAAATGACTCTCTGAATATGTTGTACTTGTTATGTTTTCTGTTTTGACTCATTAGCTTTTGTCTACCCTTTTGTGGAGCGATGTGATTTTACATCTGTGTAAAAATTTTGGCACTGCAAAGACATTATGGCACTGAGGAAGAAATTGTGCGAGAGTTCCAATTTCAATGGCAAAATTATGTACAGCTTTGCAAGGTATTACAGCTCAAAGATGGACTTAAGGAAGCTAAAGCCTATGATTCAGAAGAGAATCCAAAACCGGGCTAAAGGTTACCCAGTGCCTGCCATGGTACCAGTTGGCCGAGGAGGTCCTTGATTCCCGGAGGCTTGTTATGCAAGGTGTCTCTACCCTCCTCAAAATGATACCAGTTTTGGCATGCAAGTAAATCCCTCGTCTGCCAAGTATTTATTGCTTTTACTTTTTAAATACTTTTTTAAGGGATGCATATGAACTTTTAAGCTTTGAATTACTGGGCACTTTATTGTTCTATCACATAGTTACTGATGTATCGTGGAAGAACATCGAGTTTGAAGCTCCAGAGTTTATGTTCTGATTTCTTGTTTAGGAACAATTTGACCACTTTATCTGCCATGTTCCTGACTCCTGAGCTTCCTAAATGTTATTTTGAGAGCTGTGTTTTCAAAACTAGAGTTATCTAATTGACCCTCTGGTCCCTACTGCTCTATTTGAACAATTTCTGTCACTCAAAAGAAAAGCCTACTTTTTGCAGGTTCTGTCCAAAGTAAAGGCCACTTAATTCAGACTTGTTGTGATTTCAAACATTGTGGCAAGAATCGGGTTCATGAATGGATAGTTGGTGGTTTGAAAGATGTGCTTGTTCCAGTAGAGGCATTTCACCTTAAGCACATGTTCCAGGATATTATAAAACACCATCAGAGGTTTGACTTTGAACGTGTTCCCGCAGTTGTGGAGCTATGCTGGCAATCATGTGCGAATGATGGAAATCATTTAAATTGGAACTCAGGAAGTGATTGCCTTGGTGTTGATGGAGCTGAGTCTTTGTCACCCGATGAGCTGATTCTGGTTGCCAGTGGAACTTTGAGGGCATGGGAAATATTTAGAGATGGTGTGGAAAAGTTACTGATGGTTTATCCAGCAAAAGTCTGTAAACATTGTTCAGATGTTCATATTGGGCCATCTGGCCATAAGGCTCGACTTTGTGGAGTGTTTAAGTATCAAAGTTGGCAGGGAACCCATTTTTGGAGAAAGGCAAATATGGATGATCTTGTGCCTCCAAAGACTGTATGGCGGCGGCAGCCTCAAGATCCTCAAGTACTTTTGAATGAAGGGAGGGGATTACATGGGCATACTGCGGCAGTGGTAGAACTTGCACAGAGGCAGGTGCCATTGCACCGCCAAAGTATCACTGTATGATGAAACTGCAGGGTGTAAGTACCTCACTTGGAGATCAAAGATTGCTCCACCCAAATGCTCAAATGTATATGTCGGTTGATTCCAAGGTAATTGAACCCAGCAGAAGCTCCCCAGGGCTGCCAGATCGCAGATGTGTGCAGAATTGGAAGCTGTGATGCTTGGTGATGTAAAATGGGAAAGTAAAGCCCCACAGAAGCTCCCTTAGTAGATGGCCTTATCTTCATTCTTGAGAGTGATTGTAACATCAGATGACTGACAACGGAGTTCAAGATGGATCGCAACATCAACTGAACGCGTATTGCCCCCTTTCAGTTGGAGCATGAAACGGCAGAGCAAATTGTAGTTTTGCTTAAGCTATTGACGCAGAAACAAGAATGCATAGTAGAAAGAGTGAAAGCATGAAAGGAGTTAAGCGCATCCGAAATTTAATTAGGCTTTTCTTGTATTTGATGATGTTATAGATGGTTAATACAAAATAATTGAATTGCGTAACGAAATTGAATATAAATTTTCAGTGCTAATGACTAGTATAAGATTGATTTTCAGTTACGGAACTACTATTGTCTTGCATATTAATATCCGCTGCGATGGACTGTCCCCTTGAATACGTATATGGGATCTCCATCTTCCACACCATGCGACCTGAGGCTGCAGTTTTCTCGCATAGTCATCTGCCTATGAATGAACAAATAATCGTCAATCGGAAGAAGTTTTCTGCTCAGAAGCAGTTGCCTCAGCTCATTAACTGTGTTCGAGTCCTTGATTCTCACCGGAATGCTGGTCGCATTGAGCAAACTCGAGGATGTTTGAACCACAAGACTCAACCTCCTCGACGGAGGGTCACTCTTTATTCGATTCATGGTCTTGAGCAACAAAAGTATCTCGGAAAATTCATTAACACCGTACTCACTCAAGTTGCAAAAATCGTTTTCCAACTCAATTCCACAGAAAAAGAGAGAGATTCTTTTGATGGGTGTGCCATCAATAATGTGGATTTTCTCTTTAAGGCCGTACACAGTTTCTGTTCTACTCACTTGCATCTGGTGCTGCTTCCCTGAAATTTTTATGATAACCGGAATGGTAGTCGGTTCCATGGATTTGACGGTGAGGTCGATTTTTGTACCTGGTGTGACAATTGGATAATCTTCCATGTCTAGTCCATCTACCAACTCCCATCCACATACTGCTAGGGTTTGTGAAGCCATTGGGATGCCCAAGAGCTGTTCCATCTTCCTTTTGATTTCAACAACTGATTCTTTGAGACCTACTTCCAGGGTAAATTCATGCCCCCATACATCAATTATTACCCTCATTGTTTCACCGCATCTAGGTTTGAATCCAGAACGTAGTAGTTTGAAGCTTAGTTTTTATTTTTATGCCAAATTATCTTTCAAGAATGGTTTATAAGTTCAAAAAGTGGGTACTAGAGTCATGTCAAACTCATGAGTATCCCATCATTCTACATGTATGCTGAATTCATTATAAAAGCATCAACACTTTTGAACAGGAGCATGAATAATTCATGAAGGATACGCTGCTCCTATCTCCGCCCGCCCGCCCCCCCCCCCCAACCACACACACACACGCACGCACGCATACACGGTAGTAGTAAAGCTCCGTTTCAAGTCCTCCGAGTCTCAATTTTAGTAATTGAACATTTGATCTAACCTAATCTTAACTCATTTTCTATGTCCAGATTATTTACAAAATATGGGGATTGGGTCTAGGGAAAATTAGAATTAGATGCCTCATTTTTTAGACATTTATTTACTAAACTCATCTTTCCAACTTTTGATTAAAGCGCTTTCAGCTTTGATTAAAAAGAAAACTAATGAAAAGAGCTTGAAAACTTTGAGTTTTAACCAAAAACCATGTAATAACTTTATTTAATGGTTAGGACAAAGCCCAAGACTAAATCAATCTAATTAAAATAGCCCAAATATTGAGTTTACGATTTTATCCCTAACGGCAAGCTTTTGTTCGTTAATCTCTCTTCATTATGGATCTCTCTCATATTCTCTCCCCCATTTTTTCCTGACATTCAAAACCTTCCATTTTTCTTTCTAATCTCGCATAGCAACTCCATTTTTATCACTACGTAAAAACCACAGCTTTGACCCCAAACCTAATTTTGAGCCGTCTCCATCTCTGTGAAAATCGGAAACAATCTCTTACAAGCAAAACGGTATGATTTTGTCACACACTCTCTCTCTCCCTCCCTCCCAAAATTTCTCACTCTCTCTCTCTCTCTTGTCTCTTCTCTATAAAGATGAGCAAGGGATTTGCACTTTCACCGACATCGGCAAAAAAGCCAAAGGTGAATTTTTGCCCTTCCCTCCTCATTCATCTGATTATTAACCTTTAGGGGCATTTACGGGTATTTAGGGCAATATCGAATCATTTAGGGGTATTTACGGAACTGTAGATTTGTAGTTGGTTGGGCTTGTAAGTTTGGATTGTGGACAATAGTTTTGGATGGTTTTTTATTAAACTTTGAACCCTTTTGGTTAAATAACATTTTGGGATGGTTTTTGGTTAAATATTTGTTGGTCCAGGCCCTTTTCATTAAAACTTCCCTGATTAAACTCTATATTCCAGGTACATTCTTAACTTGAGTATTTTTTTAATTTTAAATTCATCTCCATATCAAAAATGCATTCAGTAATATTAATTAATTTATTGCTATATTTATGGATCTCATCCTTCCTCAATTTAAGGATTTAATTATATCTAATGAGATGAAGATTAATTGGACGGAATATAATTTTTTTTTTAATTTTCAAGTCAACATTTTATACAGATTTAAAATAAAAATAAGCGTTCTTTTATAATTAAAATAAGGATAACAACACGTACCAATAATTTGGTGCGTACCAACATAAGGATAACACAACACATTAATTACTTGGTAGTGAGTACCAAATAAAGAATTGCATAACGTGCCATAAGTAATATTTTATAATGTACAAAAATACTAATATGTAACTGAATTAAATTTATATAACATACGTTATATTTCATATATGTGCATGTTATATCTCATAATTGTTGTAGGCATAATGCATTGAACAATTATGGAGGCTAGAAAGAGAGAGAGAGAGAGAGAGAGAGAGAGAGAGAGTGCGGCATCGAGAGAGAAGAGAGAGATGTGTAATTGTGAAGTGTGTTATATTCCGCCCGATTTTGCCTTTATTTAGAGCATCCCCAATGGAGGCTTTATCCTCTATGAGGCTACCACATTTCTAGCCTTAGTGAGAAATTTCTTCCCCAATGAGCCAGAAAATGGGACTAGATCCACCACTGGGGCCAGCAACTTCCTTTCTTGGGTAACATAAAATCGGGCTACATCTAGCCCCAAAAAATAGTGGGTCCCACAAAAAAGTAGCAACTCATGTGAGCAAAATTCTATCACTCTCCCTCCACTTGCAAATGCACTTATACTCTCCTTTTATTATTTTTTAAATTCTTTTTTCTTACTTATTTTTCTTGCAATTTGGCTAATTAATGATTGTTTTAAATTCCATAAGAATTAAAATTTCAAATTGATTTAACGTTCATAGGCATTGATGGGTGAAATTTTCGAATAATTTTTTTTTTTCAAAATTGTATGATACTAATTTGCCAGTTGGTGCTAGGTAAATTGTTGTGTTATACGCGAAAATCAAATTATTTCAAAGGGCGAAGTGGGGGTTTGTTTCTTTCAACGGATGAGATTGAGATAAGGGAATCTAATCCAACGAACGATTCATAAGTGATGAAATCTAACTTTGTCACAATTTGAACTTTTTAGCTTGAAGGGTTCACAAAAAAAATTTAAGATAGCACGTCCAAAAATCAACTTAAGAAAAGTTCACACAAAAAAGAAAAAAAAATTCATCGCTTAATCAAATTACAACATAAATAAATAAATATATATATAGCCCCATATAAAGCCCGAAAGATATAGCCCCTCATTAGGAGAGATTCTTTTATAAAGCCCCAAATATTCCTCAGAGCTCTAAAATGGGCTATATCCACCACTTTTCTAGCCCCATATAGAGCCCCTCACTAGGGATGCTCTTATAGTAGTAGGGAAGGTTAATTCCTTACCCTAATAGGATAATATCTAGTCTAAGAGATATGGTAGAATCTCATAAGGATATCCTAGATATGTTAGGATTTACACAATCACATTCCTAATCTAAAAGGACTGCAACACTCCCCCTTGAGTGTGTAAATATTCAAACAAATGGCGCATCAGGTCTTCAGCGATGAAGTAAGTACAGTTGATAAAGTCATCAACACAATAAGCAAATGCGAGTCTCAAAACAATGGAAGAATGCATACAAAGGTAAAACTCACAAAACCTCGCTATGGTAAAACCCAAGGTGGGAGAAAAACCCATAGACTAAGGAGAAAAGTGAGTAGTTGCATTAAGTCAAAACTATCCGTCTTTTGGAAGAAAGTAGAAGAGCTCACAAAGGTATGACCAGCCGAGGATGGGTGCTTCGTTAAAATCTAGTTACGCAGCAAAAACCCAGTGGGAAAAATGGTCCTAATCGTAGGGAGAAAGAGTACATTAAGATCAAGTGTGTATACTTCTGGATACTCCCCCTGAGTTTGATGTAACTTCCAATTGAGAACTACAAGCATTGCATATAAATAGTTAGGCATACCAATTCCTCGGACAAGCTTTTAGAAGGTTGACTTCGGCAGTGACGTCGTGTAGAGGTCAGCAAGATTGTCTGGGATCAGCTTGTGTGACGTCAATCTCCTGATGCTTTGCTAATGTAAATGTAAACGCAATATATCTTGGCGTAGACTTTGTTGATGTATCATGTTTTGGTCAGGTGGATACATACTGCATAGTTTTCATGGATCATTGTTGGGACTCAACGATGGATGAAAACATAGCAACTACTTCAAATATGCTCAACAAGAACTCCTAACCATGTCTCACTTGTGGTATAGTGAAGTGAGGTGAGTCTTGGAACAATTCGAAGATTTCGCAACTAAGGTCATATAATGGACCTCCAAGATATTACAATATCCCCAACAGTAAAGACATAACCATTTGTGGATTTTGCCTTATGTGGGTTTGATAAGTAACCAGCGTTAGCATAACATACAAGGCAAGCATAATTTCAAGGATCAGGGGGGTTGGATTCACTCGAGATGCGTTGGGATTTGCCCAAATTCGTAGTACCTTTAAGCTACATCTTTAATACCAATTTAGTGGTTGCGTGTAGGATCGATGTTGCATCTTTACCAATAGATCAATAGTGAACGAGATGCCATGTCTAACGTAATGAGCTAAGTGCAATGAAGCGCAAAGTTGAACTCAGATATGGAATTTCAGATTCCATAACCTTTTCAAGGGTCTCATTTGCATATAATGTATGGATGATCACATGTATACTCAAAGGTAACACCTTCGAGGTGTAGTTCGATTGGTAGACCAAAGTACCATTAGAATAATGCTTTAACTTCAGGTCAAGGCATAAACGAGTTTTCCCAAGATCCTTCATCTTAAATTCCATCTTTAGGTGCGAGGCAATTTTCCCAAGCTTTTCTAGAGTCTTAGTGAGATTTATGGCAACGACATAAACTGTAAGTCTAGCAATTTGGAATAAGACTTCATAATTTAACATGTAAGGGCATAATTCATATCCCTAACTGATCAAATAACCACTTAGATGGGTATACCACATCCATCGGATTATTTCAGTTCATAAGTAAACGCCTCAAACAAGTGAAGAGGGTGTTCCATCGTTTAGAACTATTTGAACCAGTCCATGTGATTCTTTAAGAACTTACATGTAAATCTCCATATCTATATCCCCATGGAGAAAACACTAACCACATTTTATAATGATGCTATCAATCACATGACGTTTGAGAAAAACCTTGCGCTGTAAGGCGTACATCATATCGCACTATTTCATTCATCTCATTACGCTTCCTTTCCCACTTGTAACACAACAAGGTTACCTTGGGCAGTGTAGGAACGATAGGTCCAAAACACATTTTGGTAAGAAATTTTAACCTAGATTATAATTTTGGTTGTCCAATCAATTCTACAATGTCACTTAATCAACGGAACACGGTTCGATAGTCACTTTTCATTTATGTCGATAGTTACCATACAAGTGAAAATATCATTTATGGTAATCTCATTTCAATTTCATCAACTCATCCAAACTAGTATACTAGACTAAGAACTTTAAGTATCGGGAGTAATCCAGATTAATCTTATGAAATGTAAATGATTTGAGACAGCGATTAGTATGGATTCATTATTGTGTCGTGACCTTCCTTTTCTAAGGAAGTGAAT